TCGTTAAACAAGCGAGCTATTTCCTCTCTTAGTTGCTTGCAATCTTCCGTTCTGTGGCCATGGGTACCATGATATTCGCACGTTTGATTGGAATTTCTTCGGGCAGGATCGGTCTGCATGGGTCGAGGCCATTTAGTATCTTTGATGCGTCTGATGGCTGACACGAGAGCGGATGCACCAACGCTGAAGTTATATTCTGATAATCGAGGTGCTTCTATAGGATCAGCATATTTATCGAAGTTGCTCTTACTCATAAGCCCCCGATAATTTTGTCCTCCATCAATCCTTTGATTATTCCGAACTGCATTGCGTGCTGAACCGTTATTCACCCGATCTGCGACGTACGGTCGATATCGGTCTCTGTTCGACCTTTGTTCTTTGTCGATCTTCTTTTGGTTTTTAGTAACTGTCCTGTTCTGATGAACGGGTCCGTACGGAGCTCTCAATTGATCATCATCGACCCTAATTTTTGATGGGTATCGGTTGTGTACATCTGCCCAAGTTATCGCCAGATACTCGATCAAATTTTGTTTCAGCCGATGTGATGTTGTCTAACTTAGCTCGTTCAACCCTTGGGTGAAAGCTTGTACGGCCCAATCGTCTGTGACCGGGGGTAATTCTATGCGTTCCATTTGAAATTGGGATACGAATTCCCTCAGCATTTCATCCTCCCTTTGCTTTACTTTGAAGAGGTCTGATTTCCTCATTGCAACCTTTATGATACCATCATGTGACTTTACGAACGAATCTGGCAAAAGAATCCATGGAATTCGGCGGTAAATTGTGGTACCAGATCATCGCTCCCTTCGAGAGGGTCTCCCCGAACTTTTTCAACAACACGGATTCAATCTCATCTTCTTCCAAATCGTTGCCTTTTATGGCACATGTGTAAGAGGTAACATGTTCGTTAGGATCGGTCGTACCGTTATATTTGAGAATTTCGGGCATACGGAATTTTTTTGGGGATTGGCTTCGGTGCCGCACTCGACGGAAAAGTATTTTGTATGAATTTTTTCGAATAAAGCCCCTTTATCATTGGTGGAGCCCCCGGGATTTGATCGACCCTGGCATTGTACGTTTCCACCCTCTTGTCGTTGGCTTGGACTCGTTTTGTGAGTTCCTCGAGCAATTTAGTAATTCCGGGAGTAGTCCCTGATTCTTGCTCGTTAGATTTCACTATGGCGGGCTCTGTTCTGGGGTGACTTCTCGAAGTGGATTGGCATCCAGCCTGCTTTGTGCGCGAGTTTGGCTCTGTAGCTGAGTTATTACTACTTGTTGGGCTTGTAGCATCTCGAAGATCATACGTTAGCTGGCCCCGATTTCTCCCGCGTTTTGGGTGTCTCGGGCTACGGATCGAGTACCGCCCTGAATGCTTCTTTCCGGTTCGGAGCGCTGATTCGCCTCCAAAGCTATTTGTGAATTGACATCCAATGGTATTTCGGCTCGAATTTCAGGTACTTCGATTCGAGCATCGGTGCCATCGTTAATTGGCCTTCCAGCCCCGGGTGCCAAGTTATTAGTTTCATCATGAAGGCCGGCTTCGTAATCGATCGGTGAAGCCATTTGATTGGTGGTTATTCGTAGCTGATCCGAAATTTAGGATGTTTTCGAAAATGAGTGCAAAGCACAATGGCGTGTTTTTTTAGATTTGTATCAAATAACCACTGTTATCCTCGGTCCCGCGGTGGGCGCCAAACTGTTTATCCAAAAAATGGATAGAGTTGAATTTATACGCAATTCCGAGGATATGTGGCGTAACTTAACACAAAATATAAGGATCAATAGAAATGTAAATATAGATTGCAGAGAATGCTAAATAGATAAGGTTGTCAGAAACAATGAATCTTATGATTCAACAAATAGAATCAATATAAGAAATCTGAAAGAACAATTCTTTACTGTAGGAGAATATAGCACTTTTATTACAATGTAAGCCTAGAAAACTTGTCCTACAGAAATAGTAACCAAGCCCTTTTATAGTGAAGGGATTTGACTCTAAGCATAATAAAATAAACATTCAGTGGGAGACCCATGATAAGTCAGCTTTTTCATAATTTCTGCCAAGATTCTCTCTAGTGGGATTACAACGGCTTTTGTCTGCGAGCTCGATCTTGCTTGGAACCCTCGATTTTGGTTTGAGCTTGATTTCGGCTCGAACTCGTGATCTTGGTTCGAGCCCGATCTTGGCTCGAGCCCTCGAATTGATTCGATGTCAATATTGGTTGGTCTTTAGATTATCAGCATGATAGATCTACTCTACATCATGGTTCGATTTTGATTCGAGCTCGATAATGATATCGATCTCGACACGGATCGGCCTCCCCAGGTTCGAGGTTAGTTTGTTCCACCTTCAGAATCTTACTTCGATAAATCATCGTTCGAACTCGATCGAACGTGCTAAGGCCGAAATCTATTTCGACCGTATACAATAGTTGATACAACTTATAGAGAATTAATGATGCATATGCGGTATGTTCATGTTGGAGATGCATAAATATGGTAAGGGCTACACTTATTTCAAGGTTTTTATAAAATTGTAAATGGTCATGTGCTACTTCATCTATTATTTTAAGGTTTTCGTTTGGATATTCAGATTCTTTCGCATGATATTAAAGCTACAGGTTAATGAATTTACTGCACATATCTCTGTATATTTGTTAGGATCGGGTTACCGGGTAGTGTGAAATTTAGCCAAACAACGTTATAATGATAATAACAAAGACAATGCAAGTTGATAATAACGGCAATTAAAAAAGATAAAGAAGACACAAATTTAACATGGTTCGGTCAAGGTGACCTACGTCCACAAGCGGAGAGGAGCAATTCTACTATACCAACAAGAGTACAAAAGAGAATACAAAATTAGAGTAAATACTCTAATTAATCCCAAATACCCTAAGAGAATAACCTCACAAGATCACTCCAAAGAAAGGGTTCACATAAGTATTTTCCAACACTCACTCTCTTACAAAATACTCTATAATGAAATAAAAGATGAGAAAGAAAGACAAGAGTGAAAAGCTCTTGAATTTGTGTGTTTACAAATGAGGAGAAACTCATATATTTATAGTAAGAAATCATTTGCCTAATAATGGATATTATGTCATGGCAAATGTCATGAACCACAAATTTATTATAATGGATATTATGTCATAGCAAATGTAATGAAAATTTGGCCATATTACAATATTCTTGTTTTAAGCTAATCTCTCGATTTAGCCCATGGAGCTGCGCTGGACTTCTCTCTATAGTCTACCTAGTCAATCGATCCACTAATATTGGTCCAGACCCAAAATTAGCCCGTTGAATCTTATCTATCTTCTGTCTCTAATTTGTCTCCTTTCACTCTAGGCCCAATCATGTTGAGCCTTCTCTCCCTACTTTAAAAAAAAAAAAAACGAAATAAACATTAAAATAGAAAATCAATAATCTAGTTACACGTGCAGGAGGATGTATAGAAAATGCGCTATATTTGTTTCTCATCAGTTGTATAAAGATTTCAACATGAGCTTAAGTAATCTACACTACTTCCCTCATTAGCTTAAAATTTTGAATTGGATGATCAAATTTCAAGAAATAAACAAACAACCTTCTCTTATTTGGTAAACTTCTTGTAAGTTGCAACGATTCTTTCTTCTTTTTTCTTCTTTTGACTGGAAATCGACTGTTGTTTATAGCACCAATGTCCAACATTTAATTATTCTTCCCTCTCATATATGCTCTTAGCGCTATTGAGTTTGACATGTAGTAATAATATCTAAAATGGATGGACCACCCCCCCTTTTTTTTTGGGTACCCTAGAAAGAAAAAGATCGTTTGAACATGGAGTTGTCCAACTGGAGTTTAAATTTGAAAACACGCCCTGCATTAAACACAAGAATAGAATCATCCCAACTGTAAAATGGACATGTGGCAGTTACCCACACCTTAACTAGGAACGCTATAGCAGATTTCCTTCTTCAAGTACATGAATCATATAACAAGCAGCAGCAACAACAACAACGTACCCAATATAATTTTACATAGTGGGGTTTGGGGAGGGTAGTGTGTACGCACATCTTACCCCTACCTTTGCAGAGGTAGAGAGACAGTTTCCAATAGACTCTCGGTTCAGGCAAGCATAAGTACCACAATAATAACAAAAAATAATACTGGACAACACCAAAAAATCATGTAGAAGCATAGAAAAGAAAAAAAAAATTCAAATAAGCCTACTACCAACCGAATCACATAACAAGCAATTCAACTTTATTTTCAAATGCAATAATGATATGCAGAATTCTTGCATTGTCAATATAATTTAACAACCTACTTATCTTTTAGGTTAATAATCACTTATACAACAAAGGTAGTGCTTTTGTCCAATTTATGTGATGCTATTTGGATTTCAAAATCGAGTCGAACGAGTTTTTTTCTTATCGTGATTTTTTAATATGCCTTTTAAATAGTTTAAATTATTAAAATATTATAATTTATAGTATTTTTTATGTACTTTTAAAAATATGTAAATTTTTCTAAAAATAATAAAAGATTTTACATCAAAATTAATACATAGTCAACATTAAATAAATTGACTCTTAAACTCCAAACAAATAATAACATAAATTGGGACAAAGAAAATATTACCTATGACTTTCTTCTAAGTGATTGATAATCAGGGACGGATCTAGAGTACAAAGATCGGGTTCATCGAAACCCAGTAACTTTTATTTATATTTTATATATGTACTAAAAAAATTATTAAATATTTATAAATATCATATCATGAACCCAGTTGAGATCGTGGTAGAACCTATTAACTTTCTATCAATTAAAAAAATGTAAAGCCCACACCATATTCGAGTGTTCCCACGCGTGGCAATGGTTCCTTGGTTGGAAGCTGAACTTGGACGTTGACCAAAACCTTGTTTAATTAATAACACCTTTTCGCGGACCACACCACCCCCATATCCTAGGCGGTTTCGTGGCCCCTCGAAATCTTAATCTCAAATGCCATGTACTCCTACGTACTCGTACTAGTATATAATCGCCCAACATACCACTCTTTCGGATCATCATTCAAGCAACAACAGTTGGTTAAAACGAACCCTTCCTAATTTCTGTACTCTTAATTCGAGTCTGAAAAAGTACGTACACGGGTCAGTATAAATATAATGGTGTGTTTTTGCTTTTTGGTGGATCAGAAGAGGATGATGAGGCAGAGTAAGCCAGTAGCTGGTTCGTGTTCGCGTTGCGGCCATGGTGCTCAAGTTGCTGATATGCGCACTGCTACCAGATTTTGCTACGTCCCCTTTTACTGGAAGTCTTGGAAAGCTATTATCTGTTGTTTCTGTGGTGCCGTTCTTAAGTCTTACCGATAAAATCATCCGTTTCTCTATCTTTTTAACCGTACTAGTATATGTAATTAAGTTATGTATTTTGTGAGTTTTCCTTAACTGATCGTGAGTGAATTAGCAAATAAAAGTAGAAAGATATAATGAATATATATATATATATCGTGGTGTAATCCAGTATTGCTTGATCATGGAGTTAGCTAGCTATAAAGACAAAATTCCTAACTTCACATATATAGCCTTTTGTATTCATGATTTAATAATGTCAAATGAAAGGGTTTAATTTCTTCTTTCTCTTTCTGACGTTTCAAATAGTGCATTCGTGTTATTTCTACTTTTTACGTACAGTTTTTCTACAGAAATGAGGCGTTTTCCCTACTTCTCTTTTAATACATGCTCACTCCATTCACTTTTACTTTTTTTACTATATTTTTCACTTTTACCTGTGCAAATAAAGAGAAAGATAATCTTTTTTTATTGTTTTACCAAATTATTTCTTAAGACTTTTTGAAATGCTATCATTAGTATGAGTAAAATAGTAAAATACATTCTTTATTTACTTGTTTTTAAAGGGAGTGCAAAGTCAAAAGTGGACAAGTAAAAATAAACAAGAGAATACATATATATATATATATACTTAATTTTCATTTTGATTCAATAACAGTTTGTGGTTCAAGTAGTCTCTGGACGCCTAGAAAATTATGCTTAGCAAGTTAGAATTATATCTCTCTCTTCAAAGATAGGATTGGCTGTGTTGGTTTCTCCTCTTAAAAGCTACACGACTCTACTGAAAGTAAAGCAATCTATATAGCATTGATCACGTTGATTAATAAACTAAACAAAGATTTTTTCCTTATCGCATTAGTAAGATATTTTTCTACAGAACATAAAGAGGTCTTTGAGTAGATATTGAACAAGCAGAGATGCATTTAATAAATTAAGGAATATCTGAACTCAGGATCATCTGTGCTACAGTGTTAGCTGCTAGCTAGCCCAACTACAATTCATTATTGTAATTGATACAGAATATCTAATGGAAAGCTACGTTAATCCAACAACGTCTTTTTCACCTTTACTATTGCCTCCACACAATCGCAAGGTACAAGATTATAATGCTAACAAGAGGATGAGCAATAAAGGAAGATCCGGGATTTGAAAATTATTATGGTTTCAAGTTCGGAATTATACCACAACAAACCTATTTAATTTACTTGGTTCGAAATCTTTTATTTTACTTATTTAGTAAAAAGAATTTAACACATATATAAGGTCTAGGTAAAAAATATTAGATTCGAATGAACACGTATACATATCCGTCTGCTTCTTGCTTTGAGTTGTATGTTTCTTGAAAAGATAGTTCATCAACGCGCCATCCAAAAAAAGTTGGTTGATGTTCAAGGTATACTGTAGCAGTTACCACATTCACACACTGAAATTGACAGAGGATGTGCCCACTCTGTGGGAGGAAAGAAGAAAGCTCCAACTCATTTCTCTTACATGTGATGAACTATCCGCTGCCTTCTCTCTCTCTTTCCTTTTATATAGAGATGTTTGACCGAATTATGAGAAAAAAAAGGAGAAGATTTACTTTTGATATATACTATTAAAGTAACCTTTAGAACTTGTTGGGTTTTTAAGCTTAAATGTAGCTTAAAAGAGGGTGAATGAAAAATTGAGGAAAATTGAAAATATTTGAGTTTCCCTCCTTGACAATGAACTCTCCTTGACAAAGGGACATTGTCCCATATTGGAAAAGGAAAAGGTTTTGATGGGTATATATACAATTGCACTTCTTCTAGCTCTTAAAGAGTTAAGAAGAAGGCAAGACTCGCACCGTTGTCGTCGCTCGGCTTCGGCTGTGCTTCTTTTATTTAGACATTGGCTATAAATACCGGTCCATTCTCTCAGATTTTCCATACAAATTTCTTTCTTCTCTTCCTTTCTTCTGCATTGATTTAACTACAAACAATTGAAAACAAAGCACCAGTAAGTGCGATACTTCGGTTGTGTAATTCGTTCTATCCTTGGAGGAAATAATCCACAACCTTGGATACGGATTAAATTCTATTTCTTTTACATTTCTGAACTTGCAATTTTAAACCTATCATAATATTTATAAACTCATAAGGGCATGTCATTAAGAGTAAAATTAAATAATTTTAAATAAAAATGTGTAATAGCATTTTTTAACAGGAAAAAAGTATCCTGTAAAATGAAACAGAGGAACTACTCTGCTCAACCTGCGCTAGATGTCAGAACTCAATCTCATGATTAATTTCCCTAGTAGTTTTGATTGGGCTTCCAGGAAATTGATGCACGACAATCTGACCCTGTTAATGGCATAAAACAACCCAAGTTACGGTTATTAGCACTACTAGTCACTTTTCATCTTAAAACATTTCTAGTATCTTATAACCAAAAATATTACTATATCCTTTAAAGTAGCTTCAGAATATTTTTTTTCTCTCTCTCCTCTAATCTTTTTTTCCAATTACTCTCCCAAAATCTTTCAATCGTTCTCGATCGCTAAATTTTTCTATCATTATACTCTTCCTATAATGATATTCATTCATTTTTGGGGTTCTCAATGCCTGAGGCTATAAATCTTTGTCACCTAAAGAAATTAATGTCCAATCATCACTATGCATTTCAAGGATGTAGATGTGGAGTCGGGTGCAGTAAATGCATTTCTTGAGACTAATGAAAGCTCTCTACGTGCTTTGCTTTTGCTCCATCGTACTCTCTTCGGTCCACAATTTTTTTTAAAAAAATTTATTTTTTAAAATTAATTAGTAATGTAATTGACCATATTAATATTTACAATCTCTTCACATAAACACTTCTAACACATACTCCAACACTATTTACTCCAATGGCAATGTAGGAAAAAAATAATTAATTATTAATTCTTAAAATCTGGAAAGATCAGATATTTTGGACAAAAAAAAAGACAAAAAATCATTTATTGTGGACCGGAGAAAGTATGGTGTTTTCATTTTTGGGAATATTACACTGATGAATTTCTTGGTGGAGTATGACTTAAACAGGAAGAATATATCGTTCAAGGCTATTGATTGCTCCAAATAGTTGCATAATTGAGCCTATTCAAACTTTTTTATTTAAAAAAGGTTCACAAAAGGTAAGAAAAATTTGAAAACTTCATTATGAAGTTTAAAGAATGAGGATTTGAAATTTAAAATTGAAAAGTGTCATTAATTGAATGGGTATTGTTACAATATCTTGAAAACATCTTTCGAAAGCTAAATCTGAAATTTGAGCTCATTTTGGAAAAGATTTGGTGTGGTTTGGATCGAATTTTGATGGTTTTGGTAGTTTCGTATATATTGCCATGTATATTTACATGTATTATATCCATGTATATCTACTTTTATATCTACAGATCTCATGCATAGCATCTACATATTTGCATATCTATGAAAATCTATGCGTGATATACACGGACATATATGATATATAATGAGATATACAATAAGTGTAACAACGATATACATCGGTATTTGCTGATATGCATAGGGATATACATGTTATTGCTATAAAATCATTTAAACTCGTGAGATTGACTATTTGGTGAATGTATGCGATTTTCTTTTTTGGACGGATCTGGATTGGAAGGGAACAATCGTGAAATTAGGAATTGAATATTCAGTTTCTCCTATTTTTTAGTTCGTGTATTTGGACTTAGCATTTGGCTATCCATTATCAATTTTCTTGGGCTTTAATTGCTAATTCTAACCTATGGCTAAAATCTTGCCAATAATTTCTAGGTCAATTTCTCAAGTTTGAATGTCTCCAAGGTTGATATTGATCAGAGTAGCACTCTGCAAAAAATTCGATGCTTCATTTCTGGACTAAAACTAAAATAGTAGTAAAAAGTCTCCTCCATTTGGATAAGTTAGTATTGATGTGGAAAAAATAAAAAAGAGAAAGGACACTCCTAGTTAGTGTGGATGGGTCGGAATAAAAGTTGTTTTAACGTAATAATTCAAAAATTTGCCCCTTTGTGGTCTTGCATTGGTTAATAGGTCAAACCCAAAACCTGATTTCAAGAAAATTATAAGGACGACTTTACACAAATAGCCGGCAGGATTTATTATTTGCTTTTTCTAACTAGTATATATGGAATATATATATATATTATACATTCGCTTTATTTTTAATTTAAACGGTTGGTGAACGACTATTTAAATTGATTCTTCAATTATTGTTTATTAAAATCTCTAATGAACTTTGGTCCAATAGGTAAGCTGGTTGAGGTGTTTCAACTCTTGTTAGAAGCATGGTGACTTTGCATTTAATATATTCCAAATCTAGTTATGACTTTGATCTCCAGTGGTAGGCTGCACCCCGTTATTACTCAAAGAAAAAAGAAGTAGAAAATTCATTTTAGTTTTAAAAGAAAAAAATACGTATGAGAAAAAAAAATAACAGTGTATGTGACGCTTTACTTTAGGCTATGACTATCCAAAAAAACTTTTTCCGAGAGAAACGGATAAGAATATAATCACATTCACTACGAAAGAGAGTTGCAACAACTTACAAGTGCAAGCTATTTTAGAGTTCAATAAATGCGTCCATGGAAATGATATATACTCCCCGTCTCATAATATGTATCGTGGTTACTAAAAATATTTGTCTCAAATTATTTGTTAGTTTAGAAGGTCAAGATAAAATATATATTTTCTTTTTTTACCCTTAATAATTAATTATCTTAGAAGACTACAAACACATTACTTATGAATAATTTTATTCAAATACCAAGAAGTCTACCTTGTAATCTTAAACACTTTAATCATGTTTACACTAATGCAATCAATATTTTAAATACCAAAGTTATTTATAAAGTATATTCAAACTTTTGAAGCTCAGCTAGAGTACACGTAATGAAAGAATATATTTATAAAGAAAATGGAGATGCATTAACGATTTGTTAATTATCCTAGGTGTCTCTTCATATATTCTATAAAGCAAATCAATTGCATTCACATTTAGTAAAAATATAAATAATGTCATTGATGGAGATGACACATAAATTAAGAAAATATTTAATAAGAATAAAGTAGTCAAAAACTATTTTTTCTTAAGCGACGTGCACAAGAAAATCATGATACATATTATGGGACAGAAGGAGTGCAATTTATGAAGTTACATTTTGGGAACAATATAGATAGATAATATAAGTTTATCAAATTCAGAATTTTTATGCAAATAC